TCTAAACGCTGCTATCTTGACCAATTACAGACCCATTTCTAACATACCGTTCTTAGCTAAAATACTGGAAAAAACTGTAGCACACCAACTCCACAATCATCTCATTACTCATAATCTGTATGAAAAATTCCAGTCCGGTTTTCGTTCAGCCCACAGCACAGAAACTGCCCTGGTCCGTGTTATGAATGATTTACTTCTAACTGCGGATCAGGGCTCACCATCTCTTCTCCTCCTACTGGATCTGTCAGCGGCGTTTGACACTGTGGACCATACCATCTTACTAAATCGACTCCAGACTGTGGTTGGCCTTTCAGGAACCACACTACATTGGTTCCAGGAGTACCTTACGGGCAGAACGGAATTTGTAGCTTTAGGACAAAGTCAGTCATCCCCCCACACTGTAAATTGTGGAGTACCACAGGGGTCGGTTCTTGGGCCAACCCTTTTCTCCATCTACATGCTTCCACTTGGACAAATTTTCCATAAATACAAAATATCGTTTCACTGTTATGCAGACGACACTCAGTTATACATGAAAATGGACTCCACTACACCTAAAACTCTTCCATCTGTACTTCAGGTCTGCCTGGAGGAGATGAGGGCATGGATGGCCGCAAATTTTCTTCAACTAAATAGTAATAAAACTGAAGCTATCATTATCGGCACTCCACATCAAACACAGTCTCTCTCCCTTAGCAGTATTTCCATTTTCGGTCATGACATTCCCCTTTCCTCTACTGTAACAAATCTTGGTATCAGACTAGATTCAAATCTTACATTTGACACCCACATCCGTCATCTCTGCAAGGTCTCTTTTCTCCACCTCAAAAACATTGCTAAACTCCGTCCCTCTCTTTCCCTGCCAGATGCAGAGAAGTTGGTCCATGCATTTATCTCCTCCAGGTTGGACTATTGCAATGCCCTCCTCGTTGGGGCCCCCGGCAAGAGCATACAAAAACTCCAGCACATCCAGAACTCAGCTGCCCGGGTCCTGATGAGGAGACGCAAATACAAACATATCACTCCAGTTCTGAGATCACTTCACTGGCTGCCCATCCAATATCGAGTTCAGTACAAAATTGGCCTTCTTACTCACCAGTGCATCCATGGGACTGCTCCTGCCTATCTCAGTGAACTTCTCATCCCACACACTGCCACAAGAACCCTCCGATCTACCACCTCTTCACACCGCTTGCACCAACCACTGACTAAACTCTCCACTATGGGAGACAGGTCATTCAAGGCAGTGGCCCCTCAATTTTGGAATTCTCTCCCAGAATTTCTAAGGGCCACACAATCTGTGGAGCTTTTCAAAAAAGGCCTCAAGACCTTTTTGTTTAAACAGGCTTTCTAGTGCACAATGACTTATTGAGTGTTTTACTTTATTTTGTTGTTTTTACTTATTGTTTGTATCCACTGTAATGAATTTTTATATGGGTTTTATCTATTTCTGGGGACTGTTTTTATTTTCCATGCTTGATAGTATCCTGAAATTTTAACTGTTTTTAACTAGCTGTGTACCTTATACCTGTCCCCTATACTCTGTAGCACTTTGAGATTACTTCTGTAATGTAAAGTGCATTATAAATAAAATTTATTATTATTATTATTAAATAAAATATTTTACTTTCTTTGCTTGCTCCCAAGGCCTCTCTCACCTGCAAATGGATCTGTTGTACAACCACAACAAACCAACCAGAGAGAATCTAGCGGTGAGTTCCTGACTCCCTGGCAGTTCCTTGTGCTCCTGGCAAAAGAGGATAAGAGGTTTCATGCTGGAGTACCGATTTTGCTCCACGGGTGGCCGGTCTGACCCATCACCCTCGCACCAAAGACAGAACTGCAGCAAAGAGAGCGCACCAAGCTAAAGACCAAAGGTGACGGATCATTTGCTCCTGTGGCCCCCAGCCTCTGGAACTCTCTCCCCACCTGAGATCAGTGGACTCTGTGGTCTCCTTTAAAACGCAGCTGAAACTCACCTGTTCAAGCTGGTTTATGAGTGACCTTCTCCACCTTTCCCGGGATCCACTGATACACTGAACTGACCTGTATTGGAGTGTTCACCATGTGAAGTGCCTTGAGACGACTCGTCGTGATTTGGTGCTATATAAATGTGGCAAGGTGGATAAACGAGGGCCCGGGCGGGATTCGATCCCCAGACTCCCAGGTGAGAGTCATACGCTCTAACCAGTCAGCCAAAGGGACATCCCCTTGGCCAAGTAGCCAGGGCGCATGATCAATCGGGACACTGTGACAGGACGCTCTCACTGTCACATAAATAAACTCGAACTGAATAGATTTCCTTTTTTCCCATTTCTCTCTCCCTTTAGTTACATTTTGTTTAATCACAATTTATTTCTCTCATTTTAAACATATTCTTAATCATTTTTTAAAATCTTTTTCATACTTTAAATTTTTTTTGTTGTTTTGTGAAGCGCCTTGTGATTTTTATCATCAGAAGCGTTATATACAAGATCGTTTTCTTTCTCCGGCCACCTAGATCAGAGGCCCAAGCTGGTCCCAGCTGCGCTGCCTATTCCACTCCAGAGGTCTACTCCAGAGGTCCATCATCGGCTCCCTGAGGTTCTGTTGCCTCTTCTGGTCCCTGGGCTCCTTTGGGACTGTGTAGCCTTTGGACAAAGTGGTCTTTAGTTTTCTCTGTAGCTTTGTGTCCTGCCTTCCAGTCTGTTTGGGTTGTTTTTACTTCTTTCCCCCCTTTTTATTACTTCCTGTGTTGGGCATCTGGTGCTGCCCTTAAGAGAGGGGTACAGTCAGGTTCTGCAGCCCAGCCTCTGTTGTCTTGTCTCGCCTTATTAGTGTTGATAAGTAAGTCTCACCTGCCCCTTACCAATACACCTGTGTTGCCTGGTCCTCATTTAAACCCTGGTTGTCCTGTAAGGTGGGCTCGTCTGTGTTCTAATCTGTTGTTTGACCCACTCATTGCCAGTCCGTGCTTTAGAAATAGGATTTAACTTTCTTTGCTGCCTTCCATAGCCTCTCTCACCTGTGTATGGATACGCTGTACAACCGCAGCATAACCGCTAGTGTCTTCAGATGTTAAAGTGCCTATAAATTGGGGATTTTGCCCACCAAAGTTCTCTTAAGTGTTTCTTGCATCTTGACAACAGGCAATTTTGTTTGTTTTCTTGCCACCAACCACTCACGCATGCGCACAAAGACTTGCAGATTGTTTTAACCCGCTGTGAGGTACGGGCTGCAATCATGAGTGTTTGATTCCTGTCAGTTTTTCTTGTTTTCCTGCCTGAAACTCTGCAGGTTTCAATGAAATGAATGATTATCAGCTTTGAAGGCAGAGGAGATCATTCCGCAGTTAGAATAACGTGTGCTGGAGCAGGAACAAATCAAAACCATTACTTGTTAGTTAGCACAACACTATTTGTGTGTGCGCGCTAGGAGGCATGGCTTTCAGGACAGCAGCTGAAAGCAAAAAGCATTTCATCTGCAAAAGTCACAGGAAATTACAATTTTCAATGTATCAATGAGCAACCTTTAATCGTATTTGTAATTTTTGGCTATGAAAAATTCGACCATTTTATCATTTAGTTGGTTTTCTCATACCAGTGTCAGCCACTAGGAGACAAGCTTTTAAAATGGTGCAGATTTACATTCAGGACAGCTGGTGAGAAGATTCAATGCAGGAAATCTAAACCTCAACGGTTTTAAGTTGGTTTTTCATCAAATTGTTTAATAACTGGTTATAAATGAGTCATTCACTCACGTTTATTTTTTATTCACAGAATGTCGCCCGTGATGTTTAGAGCCTTTTTTCAGCTGAGTTGTCAAGCCAGTGCACTGAAAAATGTCACATCTGTGCACTGACAAGTTAAGGAAAGTTGAATCCATAAATCTTTCAAATGCTGAAGCAGAGAAAACATCTAGAGAATGCAGGAACTACTAAAATTGGGTTAAGAACTGTCCAACACATTAAAAACTGGGAGGATAGTGGGGACCCGTATCTTCGAGGAAGAAAAGGGCAAGAACGAAATCCTGAAGGATCTTGATCAGCGATCAATTGAACATTCGGTGAAATCAGATAGAAGATAAACAGCATCTCAGATATATGTTTAGCAGTTAAAAATGAGAGCATTTCCCCACGTACAACACAAATGGTAAATGGCTTGTATTTGATATAGCGCCTTCTAGTCCTGGAACCCCCCAAGGCGCTTTACAACACAATCAGTCATTCACCCATTCACACACTGGTGGGGATGAACTACTATGTAGCCACAGCTGCCCTGGGGCGCACTGACAGAGGCGAGGCTGCCGAGCACTGGCGCCACCGGGCCCTCCGACCACCACCAGCAGGCAATGTGTGTTAAGTGTCTTGCCCAAGGACACGACAGTGACAGACTGAGTGGGGCTCGAATCTGCAACCTTCCGATTACAGGGCGAGCTCTTAACTCCTGTGCCACTGTCGCCCCTAACAAAGGGAACTGGAGGGGCTGGGACTGGACAGCTGTGCAGCCATGAGAAAACCACTCATCAGTGAGGATAGCCAGAAAAAAAGGCTTAAGTTTGTTAGGGAGTGTAAAGATTGGACTCTGGAGCAACAGAAGGACATGTGGTCTGAATCCAGATGGACCCTGTTCCAGAGTGATAGCGCATCAGGGTAAGAAGAGAGGCAGATGAAGTGATGTATCCATCATGCCTAGTGCCTACTGCTCAAGCCTTTGGAGGCAGTGCTATGATCTGGGGTTGCTGCAGTTGGTCAGGTCTAGGTTCAGCAACAGGATGTGCTCCAGGAATGAGGTCAGCTGACTAGCTTCATACATAAAATAATTGTCTTCCTTTACATTAATATCCTTACTTTTCATTCAGTAGAACTGTCAGTGTGGTTTTAAAGATCTTTTTTCCCACCTGCTGAGTTTCGACTGTAGGCTTCAGTCTTCCTCAGAGCTTCATCCAACTTTCTGCTGTCGTGTAAAATTACCTGATCTAAACCCGTGGATCGCTGCTGATGAGGGAAAAAAACAAAAGACTTTGTGTCTTTATATACACTTTTATTGTCGGCACTTGACAGGTGGCACAGTCAGGCTGGACTAAAAGAAGCAGATTACTTCTTGGTCTCCTCCTCTTTGGACAGATTCTTGATAATCTCCTCCTTCTTGGCCTGGAGACGCTCTTCTCTGCGCTTACGAGCCTCCTTCGTCTTGGAGCGACGAGCTTCAGCCTGATCACTGCAGACAGGGCGAGACGATCAGTTTCATACAGCGTTGTGTCGCTTCTTCAATGTGATCAGACTTTAGAAACTTCAACAGCTGTTTTATCTTAAAGTTGTAGAATAAAATATAACGTAGCCCAAAAGGTTTCCAGTCGACAAGCATGAATATGATTAGAAACAAACAAAAATGTCCGACAATTACACGTCAAAGAGCCAGAAACAAACAGTTCAGAGTGAGCACTTACGCCAGGAGCTTCTTGCGGGCCTTGTCTGCCTTCAGCTTGTGAATGTGCTCCATAAGGATGCGCTTGTTCTTGAAGACGTTACCTTTGGCCTTCAGGTAGAGGCTGTGGTACCTGAGTAGGTGGAAAAAAAGAGAAATACGCTCCTAAATTACAAGGATACTCAAATGTTGTATTACTACATAACAGGAATATCACTAAACTAATTTTATAAGTTATAAAATGTACATTTAAAAAGACTAAAATGCAAATAAACTACTATCTAATATTCTTGGTTTTTACGATTACTAACAAATGGTCAAACCTACATGTGCCTGTCGATTTTCTTGGCCTCCCTGTAGCGACGCAGCAGACGACGCAGGATCCTCATGCGCCGCATCCAGCACAGCTTCTCTGGCATACGGGCATTAGCGGTACCCTTCCTCTTACCTGGAAACACAAGATGCACCATCAAACAAACGGACTGCATCCACTACCTCTCCCGCAAACAAAAGCTTTTACGCACCTGTTCCCATGTGCCTTCCCTTGCGGCGTGCCAGTGTGTTCTTGCGGCAGCGGGCCCTGGAGTGGACTGTAACTGGTTTACGAATGATCAGACCATCCTTCACCAGTTTACGGATCTGCTGACCTGAAATCAAAAGAAAACTAAGAGCAGATGGACTAAATGCACTCAGTTTCACAGATCAGTTGGGCAAACAATGTTCTAGCACGAGGACAAGCTCTTCAGCAACAGAAAAACATTGACAAGTTAACTTTAACTTGTTTAAAATAATTTGATTCCCAGGGTTTCTATGCAATTTGTTCTTCTGCAGCATGAGTTTAGAGTGCCTCCTATGATGCTAAATTTACAAAATGCAACTAGACTCCTTCAATCACTTTAAAAAGCACGTAAACATACAGAATAACAACTCCTGCCAAAGCTATTAGGCGTCCAGGCTGACTTCAGGTCACGGCATCAGTTAACTTATCTTCCACATGTATAATTATTTCTAATTAAACTCCACGTTTGATCAGACCAGTTAACAGAATCTAAACTTTCACAATAACACTGAACCGCCACAAAATCAACCCATGTTTCTAACACATTTTCCAAATTCAAGCATTGCGATGAGTTTAAGAGTTTGGGGACATTTTACACGTGTATGAACAGAACATATGTGCAAAACTACCATTTCTCTCCCTTGGCTTTTGAAAGTGTTGATCAATTTAAATCTGTTGTTTACGCCCCTTCAAAGCTTTGAAACCATGAGCTTCTATAGTTTAAAAAATATTATTCAAATGTATTAAATGTGTTTACTAGACTTTTGTCCTTCCCATCTGGGATATCCTGGTGTGATCAGAGACAGAAATCTGCTAACACGCCACCCGGGTACTTCCCTGCATCCCATGAAGTACAGGCGTTTGTAAAGACACTGGTGGTTTCAACATTACAGGCCATTATGGCGAGCAGCAAAGCTGTGACTCTCCTGTTAAATATTTAGTTTGAACACGTTTTCAAACAAACTCTTGGACAGAGACGACTACTGTGGACCACCCTATCGGTAACTGGTAGTCATCCACTGGTTACCAAACCACAGGACTAGTGAATGATCAGCTTACGGGAGTTGGCGTTAGCGATCTCGTTAGTCTCGTTGGGGTCCAGCCAGACCTTCTTCTTGCCGCAGCGCAGGACGCTGGAGGCCAGCCTCTTCTGGAGCCTGAGCATGCTGCCGAACGAAAAGAAACCCACTTATTATTCAAGGCTAGAACCCTGCTTATGAAATACAACAACAATAAACAGTGTGCGGTATTCGGATATATTAAACCACTATAACAGTAACAATGGCTAGTAGATGTTAGCCGAGGAGCTAACATGGCCTCTCCGTCTGCTACATCGTGGTGCCGACAAACAATAATGCGAAGGATTTGGTTTTAAAATCGTGTTCAGTTTAGAAGATACTGATACATTTTAAACTCTAGTTTTTTTAAACACAATTCTAAGTGATTATCTCTGTGTTTCCACTGTTAAATTGTGACTTTTATTTCGCCATCGTCAGTGATCCTACCTCATGACTGCTACTTCAACAGGAAAAGGAAGGCTAGAGAGACCGTGCGGAAGCTACCATTTTCACAGGAGAATCCACCTTCAAGCAACACAAGTACTCAGATGAAATCATGAAAACCTCCACTATTGTTGCTTTCATAATTTAGCAGTACAAATAAATACTGAATTTTAACGAGTTGAGGGGTTTCATGTTCGCTAAAAAGAAAGCTTTTAGGAAGATTTTCAACATTTCGCTTGCCCCACCCCTAAAATAATGGTACCAACCAGTTATTTCGTGCTGCATTGTGGGTGAAGTGGTACGAGAAAAGTATTTTTATGTTTGAACACGAGAGGGCGGTGTTGAAACAATTTCAAAAAGATGGCTATTCTGTGACGATTGCTGTTCATTTATTTATTTATTTTTTTTGGGGGGGGGGGGGGGGGACTTTTTCATTTACAAACAACATGACATAAATTCCTTTGTTTGACATTTCCAAGGATCAGGTGCGAAGAATAACAAGAGACTTTGCATAGAAAGCAAAGAATATTTGTGAAAGAAATGACTAAACAAACAAAAAAAAAGAGACAAAGAGCTGTGTTTTCAAATCATACTTTTCAAAAAGATTAAGGAGTTTCATTGCGTGTGTACTTTTCATAAAGTTAAGGGCTTTGGAGAAAGAAATGCACTCGTTATGAAATGTATAGAATCTAGGCTTCAATTTTCCATATCTTCATGAATTAGATTTAATGTAGGAATAGGGATGGCTCATATTATGGAAGCTAATGAATTCTGATCAACTGTAATATTATATTTGTAACAGAAATTCTCATGGGTCATCACA